GGGTCTATAGGGGTGGGGTCTATAGGGGTGGGTCTATCGGGTTAGGCGGGTCTAGTGGTTTTTAAAAAAAAAAAGTAAAAATTGAATTCAATTTAAGAACTGACTTGGCGTGACCTTGCAAGGTTATTATTTTGTCAGTATTGTAAGTGGTCTTTGAAGGTTACACGTTGTGTTCTAAAATCTAGACTGTAATTTCGACACGGGTAAAAGAGTTATATGGAAGAATTCTAGACTGTAATTTCGACACGTTGTAAAAGAGTTCTGTGGAAGAATTCTAGACTGTAATTTCGACACGTTGTAAAAGAGTTCTGTGGAAGAATTCTAGACTGTAATTTCGACAGGTTGTAAAAGAGTTCTGTGGAAGAATTCTAGACTGTAATTTCGACACGTTGTAAAAGAGTTCTGTGGAAGAATTCTAGACTGTAATTTCGACAGGTTGTAAAAGAGTTCTGTGGAAGAATTCTAGACTGTAATTTCGACACGTTGTAAAAGAGTTCTGTGGAAGAATTCTAGACTGTAATTTAGACACGGAGTAAAAGAGTTATATGAAAGAATTCTAGACTGTAATTTCGACACGGGGTAAAAGAGTTGTATGGAAGAATTCTAGACTGTAATTTCGACACGGAGTAAAAGATGTATATGGAAGAGTTCTAGACTGTAATTTCGACACGGGGGAAAAGATTTATATGGAAGAATGTTAGTGGGAACGGCAATTGTGCGGCGCGTTATGGCAAAAACTGGTAGGGGTGGGGTGAAGGGTGGGGTGAAGGGTGGCTGAAAGGCTGGCGAAAATGGAGAGAAAATAGGACAAAAAGAGGTGGGGGGGGGGAGAGAAAGTGGGTGGGTAGTGAATAAAAAAGGGGTGTCGAATTTCATAAGGAAAAAAACCTGTCATTTTAGGGTGGGAAGGGTATTTGCATATTTATAAGGTGGTAAAATGAAATTACATTTGACACGTCAAGAAGATTGAAGAAATCCTGGCAAAGATCAAAGGAAAAAAATTATCTACATGAACTGTTTGTCAGGGTATATTAAATTTATGTGACCTATTTAACAATGGAGCAAAGTATCGCTGAGATGTCTGGGTGTTGGTGGGGGGTCGGGCCAGTGGTGACGTCTGGGTGTTGGTGGGGGGGGGGGGGTCGGTTGACGTCTGGGTGTTGGTGGGGGGGGGTCGGGTGACGTCTGGGTGTTTGTGCAGGTCACGTGAGATTTATGCAGGTTACGTGAGACGGCTCCATATCGCTATAATGTATGCCGTTTATATATAACATTTTACATGTATACGAGGGTGGTGGGGTAGGTGTTGCGAGTGTGGGTGGAGGTGAGGGGGAGAGGTGATTAAGTAATCACATAACACCTGCTAAAACACCTGTGTGTTTCTTCAATCCAGTGTTACCTAAAGTCTGTAGCTCATTTTTCGGCTCCTTGTGGCTCCGTAGACGACTACTTAAATAAACTACTATGGTTTTTGTTTAAACCGGTTTTAAATTCCAATACAGCGGGGAAAAAAAAGCTTACAAATCGGTCATTACACATCTTCTTTAGCAAAAATCTCAAATTATTATTTAAAGAAACTTAAATTTTAACGCTGCTCATTTGTTAAATTTTTTAAAGTTTACAAAATTGCTCTTTAACTTTTGACTACTTGCTGAACCCGGGCTCAAGGGTCGACAACCGTTTGAGCACATCGCCTCTTTCATTAGTTTCAACATCAACAATAGAAACTTGAGATCCGGACTGAACTTTTTCTTTTCTCCTGATATTTTATACAGTAAAAACTTTCAAACATTTGACCAATGCAGCCACTTCTCTATGGTTAATGTTCCTGTGTCGCAGAGTGCTTTCCCCTATTCTATTTATACTATTTCTCGAGATTGCCAATCTCACATAAACTACTATTTCTCTATGATCTACAACAGCTTGAGGTTCCGGTGTCGCATAGCGTCTTCCCCTATTCTATTTATACTATTTCTCGAGATTCTCACAGGTACAGCCAGTTCTCCATGACGTACAATAGCTCGTATTTTCAATGACAGTTCTTACACCTACTCTACTAAATCAATCATGTGTAAAGATCGATTGAACGTATCGGCCGTGAGGAACTGGCTGACAATAGCCGCCTCTTGAACTCCTTTCTTATCAGACGGCAGTGAATTGAATCAATAACAGATAGATCATATAACATATCACCTGCTGACCCCGTCGTACCCATACATAATGTCCTATGTGGGTCAAGAATAGCACCGTAAACGTGTTTACACATGCACACACAGACAAATACATGTTATCAGTCTGGCACAACACACAAACGTACAAACATACAGACACAGTTTCACTTTACATAAAAAACACAATACGGGATCGGAATTAGAGGAAAATTTTAGTCATAGCTAATGTAGCATTGGTATTGTGGTACAATTCATTCACATCAACACTATTGCAAAACATATGCACACATATACACACATACAACACACACACAGACTACCATCATCAATAGAGGTGCACACCTCTCATACCAAAAGCATATACACATCATATACAAATATATACACATACAAAACACACACACACGCAGACCACAACTAGCAACAGTGGTACACACCTCTCATACCAAACAACAACATCACCAGGCACTGAGACGCAACAACATCTCTAACAGTAGAGAAATGCTGCAGCCATATTTTGTGACGTCACTAGCGCCACCAGCAGATAACATGGTCAACATCACGTGATACATGCCTGCGAGTGGCGTAGTCAGGTTTCGTGTAATCCAGACAATGATTCAGCTGATTTACTAGTTTTCGCTGTCAATGCTGACACATTAAAGTCAAGTATATAACCAGGGGCGTAGGTAGGGGGAGCGTAGGGTGCGGCTCGCCTCGGTTGGAGTTTATCACGGCTGTCACCCGGACCACATATTTTACGGATAAAAAAAAAACACAAAAAAGACATATTTTAACTTAGAAGTTTAAGAAACCTGACTGGGTTTGGTAAATCATTTTAAATTATAACCAGGATAAAGTTTAGATTTAGTGGGTTTTTCTTTTATTATTTATCAGTGTTGTTGGCAATAGTATTATATATATATATATATATATATATATATATATATATATATATATATATATACAGAGAGAGAGAGAGCTATCACGATATATATATATATATATATATATATATATATATATATATATATATATATATATATGTGTGTGTGTGTGTGTGTGTGCTTGCGTGTGTGTATTGAGATAGAGAATGACTCAGAGAGATCATACTTCAGAAGTCATTGCAAGCTACATTACACAACATGGTTACCTTGACGAATTCAACACATTTATTTTAATTTCTTTTTTTAAAGCCTGTCTCTATTGAAGCGCCGACAGGCGAATCTTTTATATTGATGGGTTAAATGTGTATATTAATGGGCTAAATTTAACCACTGCGGGTATCTGTGCGTTCATATTTTCAAAACTCAGCCTAGCGCGAAACCGCACGTCTAGTGACGTCATATCTATGGGTCGCGGCATGAATAGGTAATGTATTCAACACAGTGTATAGGTCATGTATTCAACACAGTGTATAGGTCGTGTATTCAACACACGATACAAAAAAAGAAGGAGCTTAATTGAATGTTGATAGACAACTGCGCTATCTAGTCTGCTGCTTACATGGGAAAATCTAAATCCCCTCCCCTCTAAATCCAAAATTAGAATCGATGCGGTTCTTTTATTTAGAAGGACGTCTTGGTAGATTAAGGGAGCCTACAAAATGATTGGCTAAACATTCGGAAAGTCAGTATCCAGCATAACAAGATAGGCCTGGAAAGATCTTGTCAGCGGCCTATGTCCCAGGAGGGGCGACATTAAAACCTAACCCATAATAAATAAGGCATTGAAATGTGTGACCATTTAGTTATGTGAAATATGTTAAACTGAGCGTCCAGTTTTGAATATCCCAATCGAATAAAAATGGCATCCAGTACATTAAATACTGAGCAAAGAAATGAAATCTAGACAGTGATAAGGATGTACACACTATGGCATACGAGTTGTTAACTTATATATACGCAGTGGCGTAGCGAGGTCGGGTGTCACCCGGTGCGGCACTTAATGGTGTCACCCCACCAGAGGCATAGAGACCCTTCCCAGGGACAAACTTTCAAACTTTCGATTTGCACCCCCCCCCTCGAGTTTTCGATTTGCACCCCCCCCCCCTCAAACTTTCGATTTGCACCCCCCCTCGAGTTTTTCTCTATATATTTAGCTATTTTTTGCCTTGGTGTCACTCCCCTAAATGGTGTCACCCGGTGCGGTCCGCACCCCCCGCCCCCCCCCCCCCTCGCTACGCCCCTGTATATACGTATTAAAGTTTCAACATTAACTTTGTGTAAATTAAATAATCAAGTCTGCTACAACCTTTAAATCTTAATTTACTGCCCAACCTAATCACTTATCATTACAGTCACTAGGTCATCGATATTTACCACCCTAATGACATACATAACACTCACGATTTCGAACTAAGTATTCAATGTAACAATAATGGAATGTAGAAATCTCGATTTCTGTATAGTAAGCGGTATAGGTAGCAGTCGACTGTCGATAAGGGTCAGAATTTCTTCCAGGAATCTCGTTTACAGCACCCCCCCCTCCTTACGAAATGGAATTTATATAGAAAATATATACTTTTACCAGTATATATCAATTGCCCCCCCCCCCCCCCCGGGAGAAAAAAGTCTGGAAGAAACACTGATAAGGGTTAAAGTTAAAGCTCGGAGTAGCATTAGTTTTAGGATTAACGTTAGGTTACTATTATGTTAACTATTGTGTTTAGGTTCCTCGTTATGTCGTCGATGTTCGCATAATTTAGTATTGTCAGTATTAGGGATATAGAGGATCTATAGCGATTTCCAACAGCAAATTTTACAAAGATATAAGAATAATTAATGAAAAAGATGTTTTAAGATGAACAACATGTTTTATTTTTCTTGCCAGGGATCGAGGTAAACGTCAGACTCCCCAGTGTCAACCTAGACTCGACCGGAAAATGCCGGCTACCGGATGTCTTCGATATCCAGATCAGCAGACCGCTGGGCTCGGGGCCGGCGTGGGACATCCGGCTGCAGCGCAACACGGTGGTGACGTCATTGGGTTTCGTGTACGTCCTGAGGAACGTCCCGGGGCGGGGCCTGGTGCCGGAGGTTGAGCCCCTGGGGGACGAGCACGTGAGTACTTCTGACACGACCTTGACCCTATGAGACGGGGCGACAACTGCTGGCATCAAACGTTATTTGGAATGAGACAAAGGGGGGGGGGGGTGATCACAGCCGTTATGTTCGTTCCTCTCACAGCTGATACATATGTATTTTAACAAATGAGGAACGAAAAATCCGACACCATTACTACACAACTACCAAACCCACCCCTTCCCTGTCATACATTACTCTGTCAACACCAATGGTGTCCAGTATTACAATACGTATTAACTAACCAAATATATCAAACATATATACAAAAACAAGCATATATATATATATATATATATATATATATATATATATATATATATATATATATATACTTGTATATACCTAATTGTGTATACGATCGAATGTTGTAGCACGCATTAGCATGTAACCAAACTCACTAACTCACCAACTTACTTACAGCCCACTGAATTAGAAGGTTACCATAACAACAGCATGGGCGCATCTTTTATCATACGGTGTACGGACGACGGTGTCCACGGGAAGATCTACTCCATGGTGAGTTGATAGTTTGCTTGTTTGTTGTCAGATCTATGTCTGTAACGTCACGTTTCACTTCTGTGGTTCTAGATCTATATCTGTAACTTCACGTTTCACTTCTGTAGTTCTAGATGTATATCTGTAAAATCACGTTTCACTTCTGTGGTTCTAGATCTATATCTGTAACTTAACTTTAAAAATGAATTGCTAATCAACATGCTGAGTTCATGTATTCGCCCATATTAAAACGGCAAGCCCTAACCGGAAGTTCCCATGTTCTAATTCCAGGAAGGTACTCTCTACACGGCAGGTAAAAAATTCCAGCTGACCCCAGTCTCCTGGATGCTCCACCGGGTCGTCCAGAGCCCAGATCACGTGACCGTCAACTACAACATGCAGGAGGTGCAGGAATACAACGCGGCGGACGCTTCTGCTGTACTAGGTACATTGTCTCGTCAGACATAGTCCAAGTTCTTTGTTTTTATTTAGCAGAAATTGATGAGCATCCTCTCCTCCTCCCACTCCCACGACCCCCAACGTATTGGTGGTGATTGTTGATATCATATGTTCCCGTTCGTGCCCAAGACACATGATGAAGTAGAGTTCATCTGTTTCGGAGACATCGGTTTATGAAGAGGTAGTATGCCCAGCCGCCTTTGTTTTCCCCAACACGAGTCAGGTACTGGGTGGACTTTCTACTGACTTGAACCCGAATTCGAACTCGAGACTTTCGGGTTAGCAGTCTAGCCCTCTACCGATGGTGGTAGTACTCCACATTACTCTTACATTTAAAACACCCTAAATCTACCCTGAAACACCTGACTACCTTGTGAAGCCACCTGGGCTAATTACCCATCAGTGAATTAAACTGACTACAGTAATTAGAGTTTCACACACAACCAAATAGAGGCCAGCAAGACATCATCCTGAGAAAGTCAACGGGCAGCCATATAACCGAGTTATGATACATATTCGAACTAATGTTGTTCACGTTTAGCATGGTTATTAATAATTTCGCTGGACCATTTTCAGCCAACAATCACCAATGACTTTTAAAAATACACCCTCTGTTTGGTTAATTTTTTTAAAGGCCGATTCCTCCAAGAAATAATGTGCACTTTTTAATGATGTTTATTTTAAGAACGGTCTAACTTTCAGACAGTCCACATATGCGAGTTGTTGAACCACGGACCTTCGACCAACAGAAGACAGAAAGACGAGTGAAGAGGGACTCAGATACAACCTATTACATTGACGTCTTGCCTTTTACAGACTTATCTGTCTTTCAAAGGTGAGTCTGTCGCTCTCTCTCCCTGTATATATATATATATATATATATATATATATATATATATATATATATATATATATATATATATATATATATATATATATATATATATATATATATATATATATATATATATATATTTACCCCAGGTGGCAGTCGCTATACGCCTACAACAGTTCTCAGACAAGATCCGTCATCACTACCTACTTGGCTGGTGTCTTCACTTCGGTAAAAAAAAAAAACTTCCTTTTTTCAAAATATTAAAATGTGTGTTATACTGCAGGAATGAGGGGTGATGGGCTCATTGGCAAATTGCTACATACAACTAGACGCCAGTTTTTTTTTAGAAAAGCTTTTTGACAACTATGAACGTGAATAGTGAGTAGTGTATTTCCTTACATTACATACAAGGGTCCCTGGACTTGGTCTAGGAAGTTGATCTATGAATTTTGTTATTTAGTGCCTGGATATTTGGTCTATGTGTTTGTCGAGGAACTTGGTCTATGAACTTGGTCTCTGGGCAGTCTCTGGGCTTGGTCTAAGAACCTGGTCCTTGAATTTTTCTATGGACTTGGTCCCTGGATTTGGTCTCAGTGTGGTCTATGGGTTTGGTCTATGGACGGTCTAAGAACCGGGTCTCTGGATTTGGTCTCTGTGCGGTCTATGGTCCCTGGCTTTGGTCTATGGACTTAGTCTCTGGGGCTATCTGTGAACTGGTTTTTACTTGATACCTCTACTCACCTTACAGGTAAACATGAGGCTAGAAACACTCAACCTCGATGGGAGAAAAATTAAAGTCCAGATGCTTCCCCCTGTATTCTCCGAGGTAAGCCATTTCCTGTGTAAATATGAAAATTCAACTAAGAAAATATTTAGACAGAAATGCTCGGACAGGTAGAAGGCGAGAATTCGATAGGGGGACGTGGGTGGGGGCGGGGGGTTAATTAATGCTAGTTGGGCATGGTAAAGTATAACAGAAAACTTATCCTTACGGACCCAACAGTCAAAGGGCAATAGAAGTAGAGTTCACCTGCTTCTGTGACCTGGGCGTATACAGAGATTATACAGAGATAGTGTTGTCAGCACTTTGCCAAGCCGACTACTTTCCTACCGTGTCAGGCAAACATCAGAGCTGGGTGAACGTCTTACGGACTCAAGCCTGGGATCCGATCTCGAGACTCTCGGTTAGCAGTCGTGCGCTCTACCATCCGACCACTTCGAACACCTATCTACGACTATCAATTAATTATCTGTTAATTTTCCGCTATTATTACCAATACTTTTTTTTTGCATACTATCGCTTTTTGGACACTGAAGTTTTTAGGGACAATCACAAAAATTGACTCATTTAATATTCATTTATATACAGGTAAATAGTTCCACTCGGGGTAGAAAACCCCTCCTCATCCCGTAGTTACGCCAGTGTGTACAATACCCTACACTGTTTATGTTTTCCTTAACATTTATCTAGGATGCCACTAGCTCACCATGGTCTGCCAACATCAAAGAGAGCGATGGGTCGGAGATCAAGTATGACGCCTCGAAACTTCTTGCAGAGTTCAAAAAGTATCTTCTCAACGCAACTGGTCTTCGACTGTACGATCATGCTATGCTGTTTGTGGCGTAAGTTTATGTAAAACCTTTATACCTCAGTACGATCATGCTATGCTGTTTGTGGCGAAAGTTTCTGTAAAGTCTCTGTACCTCACTACGATCGTACCGTTTTGTGGCGAAAGTTTCTGTAAAGTCTCTGGACCTCAGTACGATCATACAGTTTTGTGGCGAAAGTTTCTGTAAAGTCTCTGTAGGCCTACCTCACTACGATCATACAGTTTTGTGGCGAAAGTTTCTGTAAAGTCTCTGGACCTCAGTACGATCGTACCGTTTTGTGGCGAAAGTTTCTGTAAAGTCTCTGTAGGCCTACCTCACTACGATCATACAGTTTTGTGGCGAAAGTTTCTGTAAAGTCTCTGGACCTCAGTACGATCATACAGTTTTGTGGCGAAAGTTTCTGTAAAGTCTCTGTAGGCCTACCTCACTACGATCATACAGTTTTGTGGCGAAAGTTTCTGTAAAGTCTCTGGACCTCAGTACGATCATACAGTTTTGTGGCGAAAGTTTCTGTAAAGTCTCTGGACCTCAGTACGATCGTACCGTTTTGTGGCGAAAGTTTCTGTAAAGTCTCTGTAGGCCTACCTCACTACGATCATACAGTTTTGTGGCGAAAGTTTCAAGTTTCTGTAAAGTCTCTGTAGGCCTACCTCACAACGATCATACAGTTTTGTGGCGAAAGTTTCTGTAAAGTCTCTGTACCTCAGTACGATCATACAGTTTTGCGGAGCAGGTTTCTGTAACTAGCTTTGATGTTATAAATTGTTTACTATTGCTAAATTACTAGTACCATATATTGATGTCATTATTTGAAATTCCACCATCCCACTCCACTTCTTCCCCACTCCACCCCACCCCACTTCTTACACCTACAGAAATGACATCTATGGCGGCTCCGACGAAGGGATTCGATTTAACGTCACTAAAGGTGAGAAAAGAACAAGTCCATAAATGACGTCACACTCGTAGGGGGTAGGGGGGTCCGTAATTTTGTGACGATGTGTGATGAGGGGGAGGGGGGGGTCAGATGGTGTGTGACGTCGCTTTTTTGCATGTTGAAAAAGCCATGTTAGAAAACGAGTTTTATCCGTTATTTTGCGTTTTAGAAAACGTTTTTAATAAATTGCAATAGGGGAATTGATCAAAATACTCTATGCTTACAGAGTTCAGAGAAGATTTTTGAAAAAATATCGTAGTTTTCGGAAAACTTCAACAGCAATTTCAAGGTGTGACGTCATTTTAGGGGGTAGGGGTCTGGCTTTTTGTGACGACGTGTGACAGAGGGGAGGGGGGAGGTTAAAATCGGCAAAAAAAGCGGGACGTCATTTATGGATTACCCCTAACAGCAAACATGGCTGTAAACTTGTTGCTAAAAAAAAACAAAAAACAAGCCACACAGTAATTTAAAACTAGCTTTTCAATGCAGTCAAATAAGAAAATAAACAGTGAAATTAAAAGCGTTAGTCGCTATTGAGATTTATTTCAAGACATTTTGGCAATGTATTTCGTTGTACAAGTTTAACCGTATGTAATGTATATGTTATTTTGCGTGTATAATTAATATTTGATATAGTTTTACATTATGGTATATTTCTTTGGACCTTTGTTTAATTTCCCCTTATGTCATTCAGGGTTAGCGTATGTCTCTACAATATGTAAGCAAGCTGAAAGCTCCTCCATTATTGAAGATAAAGGAGCATACCAAAGTGAAGGGGTGGCAGCTCACGAATTAGGACACAGGTGTGTATATAGGGGTGACAGCATGCAATCATCACTTGAAGAAAAAAAAATCAATTTCTATTATATATATACCAAATTTGTAATTAATCGCAAAGTTTTAAGCACCTTACCATGAGCAGGGAATCTAGGAATTGTTTTAGTAGTTAAAACATTAATAATATATCTTTTATCAAGCTTTTATTTTACAAAAAAAAATATACCATCCAAACTGGCCTGTTGATATTTTCTATTATGGGACGTTGGCCAGATCAATATTTCAGTGAGTTGCCAAACAAAGTCAGTATATTTAGAGGACGCCGTCAACACCTTTTTTATCAACCATATTAACACTGAGGGGGTTAAATTATATAACTACTGAAATTATTTTTTTTTTTGACAGTTTGGGATCCAAACATGACGGTCAGGAGAACGAATGTAAATCCCAGGACCGTTTCCTAATGTCGGACACCAACTACCCAGCCTCCCCCAGTAACCTGCTGAACCCCTGGAAGTTTTCTTCCTGTTCGTCTGCTGCAATTCTAAACAATTTAAAACTGCTGGAGGCTGATCCAACGTAAGGATAAATAATTAGAGGGAAATTAACCTAAGGAAAGGATAAGTAACTGAGGGGGGTATTAAACTTAAGGATAAATAGTTAGAGGGAAATTAACGTAAGGATAAATAACTGTAGGGTATTAAACTTAAGGATAAATAGTTAAAGAGAAATTAACCTAAGAAAAAAAATAATTAGAGGGAATTTAACCTAGGGATAAAGTCAAAAGTCTGATTGATTTTTTTTATTTAAATTAAATGTAAGCAGTAAGATAAATTATAGATTCGGCCGTTTTAAATGTGCTTAACATTTCTTTATTTCTTGACCACAGTTATCTAAATGAATGTCTAAAGAAAATACTCCAGGGAAGCGTCCCTGTCAACACATCAACCGTCAAGACAACGAACGAACAGTGTATTGGTTTCTATGGAAGCACTTCCTTTACCTGCAGGGTGAGTCGGTTTAAAAATCAGTTTGAACTCAAAAGTTGTCGACCTGTATGTTAAATATTTCTGCTAAACTAATATTTTAGAAGCCACATTGATATTGTATTTTAAAGCAGCTAACATTAAGTTCAATAATCGATCATTGATATATTAATATTTTTTATCAAGTACGTTTCAATTATTTATGGTAACTATTTTCAAGCTAATTAGTTTATATGTGATATATTTTAATTCCATAATGTCATGGTTAAGGTTAAGGTTTAGGTTAAATGAAATGAATCAGAAATTTTAAAACAAATCGAAAGTTGGCCAAACGCGTTGTCTTCTGTACAGGTAAAGTTGAGTGAGTATTTACTGTAGGGTGTATTACTCCACAGGGTTTAACCATTCCGTCGTTTGACACAGTTTTTTACAGTAGGGTGTATTACTCCACAGGGTTTAACCATTCCGTCGTTTGACACAGTTTTTTACAGTAGGGTGTATTACTCCACAGGGTGGAATCATCCCGTCGTTTGACACAGTTTGTGACGAGTTCTACTGTAGGGTCCCCAAGACGGGCCTGTGCGAGAGGATGACGGCGGCCGAGGGGACGTGCTGCAAAAATAAAAAGGTCAGGGTTCAAGGCTGGTGGGGTTTCTGACGTGATTGTCTATAGGATAGGTCGGGTTTCTGAAGTGACAGTATAGGATAGGTGGGGTTTCTGACGTGACGGTCTATAGGATAGGTGGGGTTTCTGACGTGACGGTCTATAGGATAGGTGGGGTTTCTGACGTGACGGTCTATAGGATAGGTGGGGTTTCTGACGTGACAGTCTATAGGATAGGTGGGGTTTCTGACGTGACGGTCTATAGCACAGGTGTGGTTTCTGACGTGACAGTCTATAGGATAGGTGGGGTTTCTGACGTGACTGTCTATAGCACAGGTGGGGTTTCTGATGTGTAAAAATTACTAAATTTCAGAGCTGCAGGGCTGGCAAGTGTGAAGGAGACGCGGATGGTTGTATTATGGACGGTAATTTTTTTATTTTTTATTTCAACAATTCTATTGTAATCATTCAGTAAAAACGAACTTATTTTTTCTCTCATGGTGGATCCCTCTTTATCTTCCTTTGTAAAAAAATTAGTTTTCTATTTTCTAATTTTCAGGGTGTTTAAAAGCTTGTTATTATAAAGGTTTTTATATTTGGTTTATTTTCCACTTTTTAGTCATTCGTTCTAAATATGGCCTAAAGAAGGCACTACATAGGCTTCGACTAAAAATGTTTGCTTTCAAATCCGACCAGTAGCTTGTACTTCCGGAAACACAGTTATCTGTCCCTGATTGAGTCAACGCGCAGATTAAAAATAAACCGGCCGTGACCTTTCATTTTTGTCAACACGCTGATCGAGTCATTGTTTGAGATCTGTTACTAAATTTAGAATTGTTAAAATAAAAATTTAATTATTAATTGACTATTTAATTTTTTTTAAATCGATATTCATGCATTGTCACCGAAAAAGAATGTATCTAGAAAATTTGAACGACATCGCTGGTTAAGATGTGGGTCAAAATTGAATTACGCTATTTGCTAAAAATGCACAAAAAGAAAACAGACGTTGCAAACAAAGTAGAAGCTGGTAATAAGGAAGATGAAGTTTAGTTCACATTTTTTTTTGTTATACATAAAATTTGACGTATTGTGTAACCGCTTGTTTATATTTTACTTTACTGTTAGCAAATTGCTCGTATTGATTTGAAGACATCCAACTGTCTTAAATAGTGAATCGCACTATCTGGCATTTGACACTACCCAAACTACTATTATGCAATTGTAGTTTCTGTGCCCCCCTCCCCCACTCCATCACTCGTAGTAGGTCTACACTCGTCAGGACAAATATAACTTGAGCTGTAATCAGTGTTTCTTTGAGACACCTCTCCCCCCATCCCCAAGGAAAACAGAGAAAAATGTTTATAATTTCTAGAGAAATTTACTCTCGGAGAAAATATCCGAAAGAAACCCTGTGTGCAAGGCGAAAAAAAAAAGAAAGATGTCTTGACTAAGTTGTTTGTAAGATCATAAACATGAAAATATCAGTACATTCTACCAACACATAAGAAAACGTATGTATTTCCTCTCCAGACACCTGCCCTCTAGGCGACCAGCCCGGTATTGTCCTCAACGGTCAGACATGTGAACAACTCTCACCTGCCTACTGCTACGGCTCAGACATCGCCCTCAGATGCTGTGCGAAGTGTAAAAAACAAGAGCAACTGATCAACAATCCAAGTGAGTTGAGTTGCTTGGGTGTTTTTATTTTACTTTGTTTGAAAACTTATTCCGTTCCGGCCAGGCTCTGCACTGGCTTTTGTGAAAAACGAATCAGTAAAAGACAATGACTTGTGTGTTTATTAAGCATTATAAACCCGGCCGTAATCGAGATTTGGAGTATATTATATATCCAATTAATGTGTATATGTAAATAAAGACATTTGAGAAAATATTTAATTAATTATATTCTACTTTTAACAATTTAGTAGGATAAAGACTAATTAGAATAAAGCACACACATGTATGCATGTATATTTATAAAATAGTTTTTTTTGTGTTTACTTTAGATTGCCAATATGGCGACAAGGTCTTGAGTTGTTTAGCGCAGAACTGCGATAAAAGTTACACCGACGGCATTGGATACAACGTTAGTTGTTGTGCCACGTGCAAAGGACCCCCTCTCGATGACAGCTCTCAAGTCAATAAATCAGGTACAACTCAACAAACCTAACTTGGGTGCCTTATTGTAATAATGTTAGTCCTTGTTTCATATGCAATCGTGCACAGACTAACTAACATTTCAGGAAAATCTTCGAAGTAAATGTTCCAGTCGCGGGCTGAATAAAGTAATGACTAGCCAATAAGCCCGTCGCTGTCTAGGGGTATTAATAATTTTACCCGACTCAGCGGCAGTAAAATAATACAACGGGACTGGACACTTTCTTAGTTTCTTTAGATTATTACTTGAATAAATGCATATATATATATATATATATATATATATATATATATATATATATATATATATATATATATATATATATATATATATATATATCGTTCGAGGGGGTGATAGATGGAGGTGGGGGAGGGACTAAAACATATATGTTCATTAAATGTACGCATATATGTAATATTGAAAGATGCATTATTGTAGTTTTCATAACTTTGAAGTATTGCATGCGTGAATATTGTTGGTGTGTCAGTGTGTACGTGTTACAGGCCCATTGCCTATACAGCAGTTAATTATGTAATGTTTTTAATCCGACTTCACTTCAGGTGTGATATACACATGTTCTGAGCTGGTCAAAGAGTCCATAAGCTACTGCTACCAGTCATTGATCAACAGCATATACTGCGCCAAGACTTGTGAGAATGTCCGCAACAAGGAATTGCTTGGTGGGTCACATAGTTTCATGCTCGATCAAACTCAGTTTAAGAACCACTGCTCTATACATGTTAGCCCGCCATACAAGTTTACTAGATTGGGTCACATAGTTTCATGCTCGATCAAACCCAGTTTAAGAACCACTGCTCTATACATGTTAGCCCGCCATACAAGTTTACTAGATTGGGTCACATAGTTTCATGCTCTATAGTTATATAGTCCGCACTGACAAAAGTATATCATGAATCATATGAGTCGGGTATGAGTCGAATCCCTGGGGTTCGATTGAACCCAGGTTAAGGTCCACTGCTCTATATACGTTAGGCAGCCTTTGAGTTTACTAGATTAGGTCACATGCTTTCATACCTTATACCTGTTGCGGAGGAACAACCAAATTAATTTAGACAGATATTTAGACACTTGTATAAACTGATATACTGCGCCATTACGTATACTAGATTACCATCAATACTTTAGCTAGCGGTAGAGAGCTACAGCTAATTCGTGAGTCTCGAGTTGTAATCCGGGGTGTAGTAAGTAGAACGTCCCTGAGTCCACCCAGCAAACTGACTAGACATAGTGCTGACCACACTCTCTCTTCATATCCCGAGGTTAATGAAACAGATAAACTCTACTTTATCTGCCCTATATGTCTTGGGCGCGAAGGGGAAAAGAGGATGATGATTAATAATTTGATTAGGCATAGAACTCATCGTAGTTGCGTGATGCAATAGTAGTATTGTGTATATAGGCTGTGAAAAATGTCTAAACAAATTCCTTTAACTTATTTCATCTTATTTATAAAAAGCTTTTACTTAGTTTGCAACGTCTGTTTGCTTTTTGTGGGTTTGTGACAAATCTTGCAACTCAATTTTGACGCAAATTTAATGCAGCGGTTTCGTTCAACTTTAAAGTTGCAGACCATTTACTAACAACGTGTATTTAGTTACAGATAAATAATGTGAAAAGTTGTGAACGTGTTATCCTTTTTTTTAGATTGTCAATGGGGCAATAGAAACAACTGTACAATATTTTCTAAGAGCATCAAACCTGGATATACCTGTAACACCGGGGAAAAGTTCAACTGCTGTTTGACGTGTGCTGAGAACGCTATGGCCACAACAGTCGCTCCTACGACGACTACTAAGGCCACATCAGGTAGGCCAACACTAGAAGGGCCAAAAGTCGAATTTGACGACATTGTTTCTTTCAGACTTTTTTTCTCCTTTGCGGGGTACTATAAAATTTTGGTAGGGGGGGGGGACACTGGTAAAAGTATATATTTTCCATATAAATTCTATTTCGTCCGGGGCGGGGGGGGGGGGGGGGGGGTAAGTAGACGTCAAAAGAGCGCGGACAAAAGAGCGCCGACAAAAGAGCGCCGACATAAGAACGCACGACATTTACAGTAATGTGGTTAGAAAGCATGTAGGTCTGTTCCAATAACACTTAATTAATACCAAAGATATAGCTATATATGTGTTAGCTTTTCCCATTGAAATAAACCTATCTATACTTTGCTGCTAAGTAGAAATAGAACATTTTATCAATAAAGAAATTCTCATGTCTATTACCTAACTATATTGACTTCGACTTTAGCTGTGTCTACCAAGTCACCAACGACAACAGCACCTATAACAGCCCGCCCCACCACAACAAAGGTTAGCGGAAAACCCTGGAAGACTTACTCCTGCCCATATCTGTACTGCTCCGGCTCCAAACTCCAGCTCTCAATAGCAGCTCTCCTGCTGAACGTCTGCTTCCTCCTCAACTTCTTGCACAGCTGGTGAATGAATTCTACGGCTCCAGACTCCAGCTCTCAATAGCAGCTCTCCTGCTGAACGTCTGCTTCCTCCTCAACTTCTTGTACAGCTGGTGAATCAAATCAATTCTAAGGCTCCATACAACAGCTCTCGACAACCGCTCTTTTGCTGAAGTCTGCAATGTCAACTTCTTGTACAGCTGGTGAATCAAACCAAATCTACAGCTCCAAACTCCGGCTCTTCTAGTCTTTTCCTTCGTCAACTTCATGCACTTGCAATCAATGATACCCAACTCGTCCACCTCTTAAGGTGAATGTCTGCGTATCCCACAAACTTTCGCTCTCTAAAAGAATCAACCTTCAGAATCAACCTTCAGAATCAACATTCAGAATCAACCTTCAGAATCAACATTCAGAATCAACATTCAGAATCAACATTCAGAATCAACATTTATCGGGATAGGTGAGCACCTATGCAAATGATGAAACATTACTCACCTTAATAAAGACATGGATATGTTTATTGATATAAAAGAAGGAAGACCCGTGGTGTTCTTTTAAAAATAATGAATTATAATGAAGATTGGTCCTATCAACTGTAAAAGACTATTTACTCAGAATGTGACAGTTTCCATGGTTAAGACAATGGATTACACACCACAGTAATGACAGTTTACAAAACAAGAAATCCAAAGTCTAATAATAACTGTTGCTTATGTTGTCTCAAGAGTTCAATTACCGGTAAGTCCTGAGATATTTTTTTTAATCCGTTGATTACATTGTAATTTTCTTTGTGTTCTTTCCATTTATTTTCTCACTTTAAGCAAATATTAGTTTCAATTTATAAATAGTATTCATTTTAATGCATTTTCCAACTTTTTAAATTACCAAAACTAAAATCTAAATTGTTAAATTCGCCATTTTTTAACCGTATGGGAAAAATCGTTTTAAAAAGATTCATTTCTTAAAAAAAAGTTTTACTGTTCATTTACTTTGTGCCTTCTATTTAATTAAATATAATATATATATATATATATATATATATATATATATATATATATATATATATATATATATATATATATATATATATATATATATATATATATATGTTACGGTCAAAGCCCGAAATGCGGCCAAAGCGCGGATTGGCCGGCCAATCCGCGCATTGGCCGGCTCTCTTGGCCAAAGCCCGAAGAACTTAGCACTAAGATCGTATTTCGTACATTGGCTACATGGATCAAAAGGGCCGTCAGACCATGAGACAGATATAGCAGATGGCTGTCAAAAGAAAAAAAATGTAAATCTATGTTAGTTTCCATATATGGGCTCTTGATAAAATAGTTACTGAGGAAGATCTTGAGAACATTGAACATAAATGCAACGACATCCTCAGCTAACACATCTACTGCCGTGGCGGAACGCCCAGACCAGTTGCGTGACAATAATGTGGCCAACAGATTCTATATAGTTTGTGAAAAACAGTGTATTGCAGCTCATTCTTTTGGATCCTGTGGCAACGATGTCCATGCTATTTGTGGAATACCCAATGAAGCAGACGAAGGGTACGGAGGGAACATTACCTGCAGATTGTGTCACAACAAACAAGACATCATGGAACACAGATCAGCAGCCCATACTGGCTTGCAAACATCAAATACAAAATTTAAAGATGGTGAAGTGGGTGACAATGTACGCATCCGTTTTCCAGATGTTGACAGAGGTCACGGTGATCCCTGAAGCGTGATTGCAGTTGTCATGAGCGTCGAGGGTGGTTTCTACAAATTAGGAACGGAACAGGGTGTTCTAAAACAACTGTATGCTATAAAAGTTCAACTTGTAACAAATGATGATATTGATAGATTGAGACTATAGTACAATAAAAAATTTGAATATTTCTGTCATTTACTTTAATTAATAATCAATAAAGACTTAATTTCATGATCCTTACGGCATTAAAAAAAAACAAAATCTGCTCATGATCTTCTAATCCGGACTTTGGCCTGTCGTCCCTAGCCAGATGATCTTCTAATTAAGACTTTGGCCGGTCCACCATGGCCAGTCCGCGGACTGGCCGGCCAAAGGCCGAAATGAAGAACTATTTCAGACTTTGGCTGGTCCACAATGGCCAGTCTGCGGATTGGCCGGCCAAAGGCTGAAATCAAGCAAAGTTTCGGACTTTGACCGACCTATGGGAGGCGATATTGGCCAATGCGCGGATTGGCCGGCCAATCCTAGCATTGGCCGACTTCGGGCTTTGACCGTAACATATATATATATATACATAAAATTGTAAATTAAATATGTTGATTGTATGTATTGTGCAATACTTCCATGTGTTACAAAAAACTCCACAAATGTAATGAAAGAAATAACCATGTATTCATACTATTGTTACTCCACGCTCGGTGTATTTAATCTATACCTTTATAATATACACTTATAATCTAAATAAAATTATATATTAAATATATAAATATATTAATCTGTGTATGGTCTCATGAGACACAATCTGTCTCTATTGCGTCACTGGTTTGAGAGAATGTTCAATGGTGCAAGATAAATCTTGTGAGGTTCATGTTTTTGTTGTTATTTGTTAGTTTTCATCCGCTCGGGTGAATTTTCTACATTATTTTTTTTGTATTTGAAATAAATAATTTTAAAAATAATATTTTGATATATTCGCAATATAACAGACACGGTTCAGTGCGTCGTAAAGCACTAGAAATGTTCACTCTATGTGGCCAAAATAGGTCGCCAAAGTAGGGCTTACCCTACCGGTTATTTGAGGTAAAACGGTAATTTAACATTTAAATATAAACAGCAAACTAAACACAAAATAAGACAAGATGCTTTTATTTTCTTCTAAACAGTATAAAGTTTGCAAGTGAAATATTTTTATTAATGTGATAACTGTGATATTTTCTAAATTCAGCATGATTATACTATTTTTTTCAAATATAATTTTAAATATTTATACGTCTTTTTTTTTTTAATTTGACTTCTAAATAAATAAAACATACCAGGTTGTACAAGTTTATAATTTTTTAAAATGTGTTCACGTTTACTCCTTATTTAGAGTTAGTCGCTAAAAGACAAGACAACCCCATATGCACATAATATGTTGTTATAGTTATTTATTTAATAAACTTATAAAAATTGCGAGGATATTTGTTCGGTTCTTATTGCCTGTATTGTTCGTCACATTTCAGAAAAAAACGCGATGTAACTCGTACACTGGGGTTGTGTTTGTTCGAAAGTTGAAGCAAACTAAGCTTGTGTTTGTTCGAAAGTTGAAGCAAACTGTTTCTTTCCGTCGTTCTTTTAAATTCTAATCTCCATTCATGTTGTTCTTTCTTCAGGATTAGGGGATTAGTTCTCTTTACAAAGCAAGCTTACCCCAATTATTGATTTCTTCATAATTAGTAGTCTTTACAAGGTAAACTTCCCCCAATTTATCTTGTCTTCAGAATGTTATTTCTTCATACTATGTTCTTACGTTCTTCTTTAAAATTATGTTCTTTAAAATTATGTTCTTTTAAAATTATGTTCTGTCAAAGTATGCCTTTCTTTCAAATTAGGTTCGTATTTAAATCTGTGTTGTTACTTTCAGGGTTTCTTTCAGACATTTTCTCGGGAGGGAGAGGGTATTTCAAACGCCCCCTGGAGATGGGGCGTAATAATAAGCATGGTTAAAGTACATGTTTTCTTTTTCAATATAAATTTTTTTTTCTTTTTCGTCCGATTGGGGGGGGGGGGGGGGCGCTGGTAGTGGGGGAATACAACACAGTATATCTCGCTGTGAGATCTTGTTCAAACTTACATGAGAAAAGTTACGGTACTAACCACCTAAACTTTGTAGCCTATTTCAATAACGACATTGGTTGAGACAAGTATTAACGGCTTGTTGTTTTTATTTCTGCAAAACTTTATTTCTAGAAAAAAAAAATCATTTTATTTAATAGATGTGTTTGTTTTTGCTTGGTTTTTTTTCTTTGTGTCCTTCTGTTTAGTTTTTGTTAAGATTCTAACAAATTAATTACACACACAGCTACCAAGAGGGTAATTAGTGTTATTTTATTAGCAGTGTTTGTATTTGTTAGACGCAGTTTCCAACATTTCACATACACTAATCCAGAAGTGTTGCTAGAGAGGTGCGGAGGTGTCACCCCCCCCCCCCCCACACACACACACACATACATACACACACTCGCACATACCAAAGCGCAGGTGACGTCCAAATGTATCGGCTCTCCAACGCACAGCAGCTTACACGGCAAGTTCGCCGTAAACATGTGTTGATATGGGCGATAAAAACCAAAGATTCCTCAGTTACTAAAGTATGTAGCAGCGCCCCTTCATAACACTATACAAAAAAAACCAAATTCTTTGTTGTAAATTATCCAACAAAATCAAGCCCCCCTCCCCGATCTATGTGCAACAAAACCAGCCCCCCCCCCCATATTATATACTAAATAGCAACAAAATCAAGGTTCTCGAAGCCCCGTGTACTTAAATCTGAGGTTACGCCTCTTTCAACAAAGCACTTTAACTATAAATCCTTTATAATCAACGACCGCACAAACAACAATTTAACGACATCCTGACAGCAGTTGTCGCCCCTCCCTTCACTACGTTCTGTTTATCTCCCTGCTTTAATTACCACGTAAGAAGACACGAACTGTCTGGATGGGTCCCAAATTGTAAACATTTTGTGGTGAACAGCCGTCTCAGCTTTGATGCTTATGTTCTCACAGTGTGAGAATACAACAATGGCTGATGGTTGGTGAACAACCGTGGTGACTTGGATGCTTATGTTCTCACAGTGTGGGAATATAACAATGGCTGATGGTTGGTGAACAACAGTGGTGACTTGGATGCTTATGTTCTCACAGTGTGAGAATACAACAATGGCTGATGGTTGGTGAACAACCGTGGTGACTTGGATGCTTATGTTCTCACAGTGTGAGAATACAACAATGGCTGATGATTGTTGAACAACCCGTGGTGACTTGGATGCTTATATTCTCACAGTGTGGGGATACAATTATTTTGTTGCGGGACTATAAGCATGGCTGATGGTACAGGGTTAGAGTACTACCTGCTTAACTCGTTTACACAACAGTGCTGGGGTTAATGGGATATTAAAACTATAGTAATTATGATACAATAACACCCACACCCATATATATATATATATATATATATATATATATATATATACATACATATATATATATATATATATATATATATATATATATATATATATATATATATATATATATATATATATATATATATATATATATATATATAGGCCTATATATATATATATATATATGGCGCACCGTATTTCACTTTTTGTTTCTGAGTCGCTGATCATATTCTCATATCACAATAACACTATGAAGGATCGTCGATCGATATAAAGTTAATCAAAACCAAATAAACCCCCCAGGACTGGGTCAGGGAAGAATGGGGGGGGGGGGGGGTTAGGTGTGTCGCGAGTGTAACACGGTCGGGCGCCGGTTAGCCGGAGCGTATCAGACACGGTTGGCTGACTCTCAAGTCATACCGGCGCTGGGTTAAACAAAAAACACAAACAACACGGCGTGCCAAGGTCAGGGTCAGGTGTGTTGATGGGTCACGCACGGCGTGGCAAGACAAGCCCTCCATGATCTTAACGTTCAAGTGGGTTTTTTTTTTTATTTATAAGAAAGAAATTTAGTTTGTTTAATAAAAAAAAAAATGCGTTTCTTTACGTGAAAATATTTTAAAATATTTTTACAATGGGACAACATTATCTGAAACTTTTGCATTTGGTTCAATTCTTTGTACGAGGTTTCTTTCAGAAACTGTTCCCCGAGACGGGGGGGGGAAGAAGAGAAAGAGGGGGAGGGGTACTTGAATATATCGGGGCGGAGGAATCGTTAAAGTATTTATTTTCTATGTCTAATTCCTATCCCGCACCCGGCTTACTTCCACGAAAGCCTGAATCTATCCAGAGAATGTAATGAGAGAGTAGTAGGGCTGTCCACATTTCATATGCCGAGGTTTAGGAAAATGATTCCACTGTCTTATGGGCCGTTGGTCTGAATGGCTACCTTACCTTACAACACCTTGTTTGAACAGGAATAAAATAAAGACAAGCATGTAATAAATATATAGCGCTGTGTGATCAGATCATTAGTTTAACGATTACTTCTTACACCCTGCTTAAGCTTTGGTACCCCATTATCTAATTAAGCACAGATGTGTAGGCTACATGTGTTAGATACAATCAAAGACACAGGAGTAAGACACAGGAGTAAGACACAGGAATAAGACACAGGTGCCATCTATTCCCGTCACTCCACCATACATAAGTTATGTACTAAACCAGTCATGTGGAACAGATGAGATCCAATAGATGCACCCCCCCCCACCACACACCCCTCCACCTTGTCTTAAGTAAACATTAGTTGATGTTATGAATAATCTTCACGCATCTGCGAACATTTACAATGACAAAATAAATTTAAGAAAAAAAAAGAATAGTAAGATATAATGGCATTGGTTTTTATTAACATGAGAAGGAAAGCAATTCGTGCCAAAACAAACATTGAGCAATAGTCTGAAAGAAACCCCGTCTCAAGAGCTAAAGCAAGCTCGAGAGTTTCGGGTAAACTTGAACTCTACCGTTTAAGCCTATAAATAGGCGATTTATTGTGTATTACTCTTCATCTATATATATATATATATATATATATATATATATATATATATATATAACACTTGGGTTTACATAAATATGTAGGTGTAGGCCTATATCTGATATACAAAATACAAATATGATCTACGATATAAGTAATGCCGCCAATACAAAGACCGCCATTGCTACTATTGTGGAGTAGCTGCTGTAGTGTCTAACTGAGACATTTTTACTGGCAGCTGTCTTCACTGTGGTAGGGGGCGCTTGAGTCGCTCCTGGGCTCGCTGTTGGTTTGGTTGCTGTGCTGGGCGATTTGGAGGGTGATGCTGTGCTGGGGATGGCGTAGTCTGCGCATGTCTGGCAGCAGGAGGAAGTTTGCTCAGACGTGCATGGGGTGCCAGAGAGCAGCTGATTCACGACTTGTGTACAGATCTTTCTGTCTCCCCAAGGGCAGTCTGACCAGAGGTTAATCAAAGTAATTAATTAATGGCTAGATAAATAAGTAGGATTTGTAAATGACGGGGTGGGACGCCGGGGATTAGCGGTAGAGCGCCAGACTGTTAATCTGATTGTCTCGAGTTTGAATCCGGGTTCAAGTCAGTAGAACGTCCAGCTCTGATGGGTACCTGACTTAGGTTGGGAAAAGTAAAGGCGGCTGGTCGTATTGCTGACCACACTATCCCTTCATAAGCTGAGGTCATAGATACAGGTGAATTCTACTTTGCTTGCTCCAAAGACCGTCAGGTTCGTTAAGGGACCTTAGTTTAATTATGATGACAACTAACAAATGTCCAGACGGTCCCTTCTTGATCCGCAGTTACACGCCTTGGGTTATAGAGGATATTGATTTAATCCATACTGGGAAATATTCACCTCAATAGCTTTCAATTAGCTTTAAAAACTATGAATAACCATTCACATGTTGATTACTGCTAGTGTTGTCTACAGGGGTTATTAAAAACCTCAAGATTATCCTAGGCTTAACCCTAACCCTAAAACCTCTAGATCAACCCTAACCCGGCCTTCTCTTTAACCCACTTTAGCCGTACCTCAGCCATATCTCTGATCCGCCCTAACCCTAGCCGTACCCAAGCCTTTATATAATCCCATGTAATCCCTAACCCTAGCCGTACCCTAGCCTTCTATCTATTCCATCCTAACCCTAGCCGTACCCCAGCCAATCTTTGGTCTGCTCTAACCCTAACCCCAGCCTCCTATCTATCCCATCTTAGCTCTAACCCTAACCCTAGCCGTACCCCAGCCAATCTTTGGTCTGCTCTAACCCTAACCCCAGCCTCCTATCTATCCCATCTTAGCTCTAACCCTAACCCTAGCCGTACCCAAGCCAATCTTTGGTCTGCTCTAACCCTAACCCTAGCCGTACCCCAGCCAATCTTTGATCTGCTCTAACCCTAACCCTAGCCGTACCAAATCTTTACCGCTAACCCTATTTCAAACCCTAACCTTAGACTTTACCCCACCTAACCCACCAGTGTTCCTGCACGACATGTAGCTCACCTGGTTGTGTTTTATTTCTCTGCGACTCACACTCAACGGAGCACGCGCTGGCATGCATGTCGCTCAAGTAGCAGGTTGACCTGGTCAGTTCTTCTATTGCCTTGACGCACGTTGTGCAGTTCTGCGCTGTAAGAGATCGAACATCATCACACGAAATTGATTTTTTCATTGGTCGAACTGTTTTATAGTACGAACACAATCACACGGAATTGAGTTTTTCATCGTTCGAACTCTTTACATTTTGAACACAATCACATGAAAGGGTAGCTTTAAAATTGCTGTTTCGTTATTCGAACATAACGACACTGTTGAACTTCGATATTCGAACAATATATTATGTAATATTAATTGTTGTAAATTAATACACGGTGAAACTTCGATAGTTTATAACCACAAACTAAATTCGTTGTTCGGATAGAATTACATTGATGAACCTAAATACTCGAACACAGGGGCAAAGCGAGGGGGGGGGGGGCGGGGGATGACACCATTTAGAGGGGTGACACCAAGGCAAAAAATAGCAAAATATATAGAGAAAAACTCGAGGGGGGGTGCAAATCGAAAGTTTGAGGGGGGGGAGGTGCAAATCGAAAATTTGAAAGTTTGTCCCTGGGAAGTGTCTCTATGCCTCTGGGGGGGGGGGGTGACACCATTAAGTGCCGCACTGGGTGACACCCGACCTCGCTACGCCACTGCTCGAACATAATTAAATATGAAACTTTTCTTTTAAGTTTTTTTTTAAATGGTTGGATTTTAAGTGACAAAAAGAGGCGTCATCGGGGGGTGGGGGGTGGGGGGTGGGGGTGGGGGTGGCGGTCAGCACCGTGTGACACCAATTATGGGGTGAAACCTAACTTAAAAATCGTCAAATTTACTTCAAAACAGCGATGTACCCAGTTAAAAATAAACAAATAGTTTGGAAAAGGGGTGACACCAATCAGAAAGGCAAATTTTTAAGAGGAGGTTGGGGTGACACCCTCAGTTACAGGGTGACACCCGACCTAGTGACGCCACGTGGCATAAACTAACACATTTTCGCGACACCATACGTTGTCGTGTATATGTATGACGAAATAGTAGGAGGGGGGGGGCAACGTGTTGTGATGCGAATTTGAAGGGTAATGAAAACATGTAAACAAAAGGGACGCTACTCTAAATGTACTTAAATGTAACAATCCCAACACGAAAGGGGTTGTGTGTTGAAATCTTATACGGGCTTCCTACATTAGTGCTGTGACAAGCTGGCACCAAATCAGGGGCGTAGCGAGGCGGGGCGGGGGGTGCGGACCGCACCGGGTGACACCATTTAGGGGGGTGACACCAAGGCAAAAAAGAGCAAAATATATAGAGAAAAACTCGAGGGGGGGGTGCAAATCGAAAGTTTGAGGGGGGGTGCAAATCGAAAACTCGAGGGGGGGGGGGGTGCAAATCGAAAGTTTGAGGGGGGGGGGGGTGCAAATCGAAAATTGAAAGTTTGTCCCTGGGAAGGGTCTCTATGCCTCTGGGGGGGGGGGGTGACACCATTAAGTGCCGCACCGGGTGACACCCGACCTCGCTACGCCACTGCACCAAATAACTTCCAAAACATTTGGGTTCTATTTACTTTTCTTTATTTGCTGGTGGATATGTGGGGGTAGGGTTTACATTTTTTTTTTAAATATAGAAACCAAGTCCTTCCCTAGCCTTGTCTGGCATACTATTGCCCGGTGTTCTGAACTATTTAAGCCGACCACACAAACATTTAATAATTTCAGACACTCATTACATAAGACGAATTATCGAGTCTTAGATAAAATAAGGTGTGGGAATATATATACTCACAATGTCCCTGGATATAGAGACATTACGGTTCTAAACAAAGCTGTATTGTAAGACGAACATTTCGAAAACTTACTTTTGGTATTGACACAGGGGAGGGCAGGAGGAGCTAGGTAGCAGGTGCCACAGCACATGAAGTCGTAGAGAACTCCGTTGGTGTCGTTGGTGCCACACTGGGTTTTGCTGCAAGCGAGTAGCTTATCCCCATACGTACAGGCTGGGTGATAAAAATAAGACCGATATTTACTGTGTTAACATGAGTACTTTATCTTACGTACAGGATGGGGGTGGTAAAATAAGACCGTTATTTAGTAATGTTAACATGGTTATTTTATATTACGTGCAGGCTGGGTGGTAAAATAAGACCGTTATTTGGTATGTTAACATGGGTACTTTATCATATGTGCAGGATGGGGTGGTAGAAATAAGACCGTTATTTGGTATGGTAACTTGGTTACTTTAACCCTATTCTTGTAGGCAGGGGTAGATAAATTAAGACCGTTATTTGGTGACGACATAGCACTTCATATTATGTCGACGGCCTTAACCGAAAGAAGCAGGCAATCATCCCATGAAGTTGTTAGATTACAGCACCAATATTTACATTCACTTTATAAGACCTTCGAGTATTGCAAGATCTAACTAAAAGTAAAGCTACCCTTTCAGACCTGACGATCAACGGGGCAGATGAAGTAGAGCCCACCTGTTTCTGTGACCACGGCATATAGTGTGATCAGTTTTACACCCAACCGTCTTTACTTTCCCTAACGCGAGTCAATTACATATCACATGATGGATAAATTGTGGGATGTCCGGTGGACTTGAGCATTGGAATTTGAAACGTACGAGTTAACACTCGTGCGCTCTACCGCCTAGCCACGTCACACCCAACTTACTCACAGTGTTTCTTTCAGACTTTTTTCTCCGGGGGGAGGACTAAATTTTCCGGGGGGGGGGGGGGGGGAGGGGCGAACACTGATAAAAGATGCCTGGACGAAACTCAATCAATCAATCCCACCTATCCCTAAGAAAAAAAGCGATGACCCTACCGGAAATGTTGGCAAACTTTGACCTCCAGTTCCGGCACGTGTTGCAGCATGCTTTTTGTACATCCGGTAGATAGCAGTAGGATGAGCTGAGCTCTGCGCATGTCTGGTCGTTCAAAACTTTCCCCAGCACATCGGCGAGTGGGCACTCAGCTGATAAATCACATGAGATGAATTGTCATCGTCTGCCAGTAGTCATTAACATTTCAATATTTTACCCATCTTACATTTGGTCAACAACACTCCCCCAGCTCTCTCATCGTCAACACCCCCCCCCCCCTAATACTCACCGTCAATAACACACTCCCGGCTCGCTAATACTCACCGTCAACACCCCTCCCCCCCGAGCTCGTAAATACGTACCGTCAACAACACCCCACCCCCATCTCAGTACTAACCGTCAACACCCCCCACCCCCGCTAATACTCACCGTCAACAACACACTCCCCAGCCGGTGCCGTGTCGTTACACATCCCATTTAGACATCGCTGTAAAACAAGGACGACAATTAGACAGGGAATAAAGTCTGTTTCAGTGAATCTGATTGGTAACATCTAACTACCATCACAACCACCCTACCATCACTCCATACCATCACACCCCACCACCACACCCACCTACCATCACATCTACCCACCATCACTCCCTTACATCACATCCACCTACCATCACCTACCATCACACCCAGCTACCATCACCATCACCCTACCATCACAACCACCTACCATATCTCCCAAACATAAATCCCTACCATCACTCCCTACCATCACATCCGCCTACCATCACCTACCATCACATCCACCTACCATCACCTACCATCACCTACCATCACATCCACCTACCATCACCTACCATCACCGACCATCACATCCACCTACCATCACCTACCATCACATCCACCTACTATCACCTACCATCACATCCACCTACCATCACCTACCATCACATCCACCTACCATCACCTACCATCACATCCACCTACCATCACCTACCATCACATCCACCTACCATCACCTACCATCACATCCACCTACCATCACCTACCATCACCTACCATCACATCCACCTACCATCACCTACCATCACATCCACCTACCATCACCTACCATCACCTACCATCACCTACCATCACCTACCATCACCTACCATCACCTACCATCCACCTACCATCACCTACCATCACCTACCATCACCTACCATCACCTACCATCCACCTACCATCACCTACCATCACCTACCATCACCTACCATATTATTCCTACAGCAGGTGCCTGTGGCAGGGTTCATGAGGTCACACCTGTTGGTGCCAGGTATGCGGCAGTAGAACTCTGTACACACCTTGTCGAACGGGGACACCTGGGGGGGGGGGGGGGGGGGGGGTTGTATGTTAGTTCACATCAAAAAGGTGTAAGGTGTTCGTTTTTTTTCTTCTTTTTTTTTAAATATATTTTTTATGCTGTGATAAGCTAATAATGCGGAGGATTTGATTTTTTTAATGAATAAATTCCCACAATATTTGGTATTTGGAATGTTTGGGTAAATAACTAAACACTAGTGCCAAATCAAGGGCGTTAACAAATGTAAACACGAGTTCCCGGCCTTACCCTGCAAACGAAGGACTCGTTACCATGGAAACGTTTGCACTGGTCGTCCGCAGTTTTGGAGACTGTTTGGTTGACGATGGTGCTGTTGGAGACTGTCTCTGTCAGGCACTTGCGTGCACTGGTGGGTGACACGTCACGGAGTTATTTTTAGACGACAATTATTAAACTCAAATGGCCATTAAACTAAAATGTCCATTAATCGAAGTTAAAAGTCAATTAAACTAAAATCTCCACTGATTAAAGTAAAATGCCCACTCAACTAAAATGTTCATAAACTAAAATTTCCTCAAACTCAAATGTCTATTAACTCAAATGTCTATAAACTCAAATGTCCACTACACCCAAATGTCCACTACACTCAAATGTCCACTAAACTCAAATGTCCACTGAACTAAAATGTTAACTGAAGTAAAATGTCCACTAAAATAAAATGTCCACAAACTCAAATGTCCACTAAACTCAAATGTCCACTACACTTAAATGTCCCCTTCACTGAAATGTCCAAAAACTCAAATGTCCACTAAACTCAAATGTCCACTAAACTCAAATGTCCACTACACTCAAATGTACTAAACTCAAATGTCCACTGAACTTAAATGTCCACTAAACTCAAATGTCCACAAAAATGTTCACTAAACTCAAATGTCCACTTAACTAAAATGTACTAAACTCAAATGTCCACTAAACTCAAATGTCCACTACACTCAAATGTACTAAACTCAAATGTCCACTTAACTAAAATGTCCACTAAACTCAAATGTCCACAAAAATGTCCACTAAACTCAAATGTCCACTTAACTAAAATGTCCACTAAACTCAAATGTCCACAAAAATGTCCACTAAACTCAAATGTCCACTTAACTAAAATGTCCACTAAACTCAAATGTCCACAAAAATGTCCACTAAACTCAAATGTCCACTTAACTAAAATGTCCACTAAACTCAAATGTCCACTTAACTAAAATGTCCACTAAACTCAAATGTCCACAAAAATGTCCACTAAACTCAAATGTCCACTTAACTAAAATGTCCACTAAACTCAAATGTCCACAAAAATGTCCACTAAACTCAAATGTCCACTTAACTAAAATGTCCACTAAACTCAAATGTCCACAAAAATGTCCACTAAACTCAAATGTCCACTTAACTAAAATGTCCACTAAACTCAAATGTCCACAAAAATGTCCACTTAACTAAAATGTCCACTAAACTCAAATGTCCACTAAACTCAAATGTCCACTCAAATGTCCACTAAACTCAAATGTCCACTAAACTCAAATGTCCACTCAAATGTCCACTAAACTCAAATGTCCACTAAACTCAAATGTCCACTCAAATGTCCACTAAACTCAAATGTCCACTAAACTCAAATGTCCACTCAAATGTCCACTTAATGATCTAAATATACCTGGGGTCTCCCTCTAAATCCGCGAGCCTGGCAGCGACGGCCTGTGACGAGCAGGGTGAGAACTTCCAAGGGTTGTACCTGGTGACGTCACTCTCCGGGTAAGTGGCGTCAGACATCAGGTACCTCAGGGAGGATGGGCAATTGTTGTTGGTGCCATCGTGACTCGATCCCAGGCTGGTTGGAAAATATGGGGGGGGGGATGCGGATAATACGTGGAGATTATTCAACACATTAACGTTGATATGCTTTGTATAAGTTAAGATTACACTGAAAAGGTTTAAAGGGTTAGATTATTCTAGAGTTTTTATAACCAAAACAGTTCCGAGATACGATGATTGAAGTTGTCTTTCATGATGTAGCGCTCAGGGATAATGACGTGACAACAGACCCACAATCAACACTATTGTAAATAGTGTAAATAGCCTACCCTACCCAATGTAGGCGATGTTGGATATAAAATTCTCAGTGGCGAGAGCAGAGTGGTGTTAGGGGGTAATAACTCAACCCCCCCCCCCCCCATAGATAAAGATAGCTTTCTCATTTTAAGTTATAGCTATATGTGTCATTGTTGTCATTGTTGCGTTCTATCGGTTTTATGTTTAAAATTGTGAATGTCATTAGATTACTGTTTTGTATATATATATATATATATATATATATATATATATATATATATATATATATATATATATATATATATATATATATATATTAGTTACATAAAGGCTATATGTACATGTGGGGGATAATTATAACCCCCGCCCATCCCCACCCCATAACAAAATCCTGCTTATGCCCCTAAGAAAAAAATTCTACCTCCCACAATCGCCCCTTAAAATAGCCTTTTGTCCTTATTCCATTTCCAAAAATGATAATAAAGCATACTTTAATACATTTTTTAGCTCTAGACACAAACAATAACAATTGACAAAGGAATATTTACATCAAACACAGAGAACTGTCTGAATCATGTATGTTGACATTGCCAATCTAAAGAATCGAGTCCTTCCACCCCTTTCTCTTACCTGTGTCCCAGTTCATGAGCTAACACCCCTTCACTTTGGTACGCTCCTTTATCCTCCACTATAGAAGAGCTTTCACCGTTTGTGCTGCACATACCACCAACAGTGGCCAATCCTTTTAAAAAAAATAGATTTATGAAATGCCACAAAAAACATTTTTATAAAGTTGAAACTTGAATGCCATAGAATGTCGCAGAAAAAAAAAATATTTTGTTCGTCTCGATCCCAATACAAAATGTATATAATTCAACACCCCCCCCCCCTCCCCCACCCAAAAAAATACAATGGACTGTCTCAAGTTAGAGCTAGGACTTAGTTTGTTTTCGTAGTTTAGGTGGAGTTATGCGGCCTACAAAAGACCTGTATTCCGATCCCGACGATCGAAATATTTAAAACTATAGAGAAAAGCTTGGGTTGATGATAAAGCTTTAGTATAATTCTATATCGTCAAAACTCTATTTTAAAATTATAACTAAAAATACACTCGCGCATACAGTTAACGTAAAGAATGTGTCTAATAAAAGATTGTTAAATACTTTACATCGCAATCTTTAATAAATATTTTTTTATCTAATTATGTCATATAGCATTGACATAAGTCCTTGGACACCATGTCAAAATTAAAACAAATCGGTTTAGTAGAAGTGGATGAAATTGTGTTCGAAAGTTTCGATCCGCGACGGCAAAATACTAAAGACAAAATTTAGCGTTAGCGTTGTATTTTTGTTGTAACACCACCACCTCAACTATTCGTTAGGTTATATTCTGAGTATCAAAACACCTCCCTCTCGTATGTTTACCTTTAGTGATGTTAAATCTTATGCCCTGGTCGTTACCACCATAAATATCATACCTGAAACACAAATGGCAGAAGACATGCAGAAGAAATTACCATCACAGCTTAAATGATACCAATGGAAGACAAACTGGTTAGTAGTTATCTAAAACAAAACTAAATTTACGTTTTCAATATTACTCTCTCTCTCTCTCTCTCTCTCTGCATCTCCCCTCCCCCTGCCTCTCCCTATCTCTCCCCTATCTCTCCGTTGTCTCTCCCCTGCCTCTCCCCTGTTCTCCCTGATGAAATATCGTAAAAAAAAAACGAACTGGCAGAGCCTAGCACATCAAGAACAAGAACACCTACTGCAACAATAATTACAGCAACAGCATCAATAGTAGCAACAACAAGTACAACCGCAGCAACTGCAACTTTAACAATAGTAACAACCGCATCAGCAGCAACACTAACAACAACTACAACAGAGACTAGAACATCAAAAACAACTACAACACCAAAAACAGCGGCGACTAGAACTGCAACTACAATAGCAGCTTTAATAATAGCAAAAGCAAAAGCAAAAACAACAAGTACACCACCAACAACAACAACAACGAAAAACAGCAACCGCAACAACTACTACAGAGACCCGAACAGCATAACTAACAAGTACACAACCACAACCAATAGCAACAAAAAAACAGCAACAACTAGTACAACAACTACTACATAGACTAGAACAGCACAACCAACAACTACACCACCAACAACAACAACAACAAAAACCAGCAACAACTACTGCAGCAACTACTACAAAGACTAGAACAGCATAAACAACAACTACACCACCACCACCACCAATAACAACAAAAAACAGCAACAACTAGTACAACAACTACTACAGAGACTTGAACAGTACATCCAACACCACCACCACCACCAACAGCAACAAGAACAGCCTGCTGCCTACTATGAGCCTGTGCAACACCAACCACTCACGATGTCATCAGAACGGCATGGTCGTGTGGGACTCTGAACGCGAAGACGTCCTTCAGGTATGTCTGGAAAGCCTTCAGGAGCAACGTGGCGTTAATCTTCGTCTCCTGGGTTTCTCTTTCAATTATATTCGCATTCCACGGCGACGTGTTGTCAACCTAAAGCACACATAAACACTAGTCAATTCGAAATTTGGTTCATTCGTATTCTTTATTGTGCTATTACGATGTTTAGCTCCTAAAGAAACGTATATTTAGTCATTTCATTGTTCAGATTTAAACATATGGTTCATCAGCCTATAAAAGAACATCAGAAGCCAGACATAGCAGCAATCTACTCGTTTATCAAACTAAGATCTGTTTGTTTACCTTACTAATGATAGGTGTAATTTTGCGGACCACAAGTTGTTTGCTTCCAAGAACTAGGGTTGACAAGCGCATATTTACCTAAAGTTAAAGTATTTAGAAATACATATATATATATATATATATATATATATATATATATATATATATATATATATATATATATATATATATATATATATATATATATATAATATATGCATAGATATATATATGGTTTTTATTTTATATATTATTATATGAAGCGTATATATTCTATGCTATGCACTTATAAGGTAAGAGATGTGTGTTTTTACCGATGTTAGCAAGTTGTCCAGGTAGTTGTTGATCAAGGTGAGTGTTTTATTTTCTGTGATTCCAATGAGCAGCCACCTGTGAAGGTCAAACATAGTTTAACAGAAGTACAGGTGTACAGGAAAATACGTGTACAAGAACGAGGAAGTTTAGATGATATGGAAAGTGTGCGTGTACCCACAGGTTAAACAGGTTTGTTTGTGTTTAAGGCATCTTCGATTATAAGTGACAGCTCGTTATCTTTTATCTACGCCTATAGGATAAATACGAGGGGGGTGTCCACCCCGAGTGCCTTGATAAATAATTATATTATTATACCAATGCTTCTAAGTCTAATCAGCATGAAATGCTTTACTACGCCACTACAATAACTGAGACCATTTTTGTATTCGGTGCCAGATATTTTTTTCCTGCATGGTTTCTTTCATAAGTATATCTGGTAGAATACATTGTTGGTTTGGAAAATTGAAATTACACTAGACGATTAGCCGTACCATAACTTAGCACTAAGAAAGAACGGCTCATAAGTTGACGTCGGCGATGGGAGATGATGGGGAGAGTAAGGATGATGATGATGATGATGATGATGGTGATGGTGATACTGATGATGATGATGATGATGGTGATGATTATGATGATAGTGATGATGATGATGATGGTGATGATGATGATGATGATGATGGTGATGATGATGGTGATGATGATGATGGTGATGATGATGATGATGATGGTGATGATGATGATGATGATGATGATGATGATGATAATGATGATAATGGTGATGATGATGGTGATGGTGATACTGATGATGATGATGATGATGGTGATGATGATGGTGATGGTGATGGTAATACTGATGATGATGATGATGATGGTGGTGGTGGTGATGGTGCCAGTCCTTACGTACAGATTTTGATACATCCAGACGTCACAAAAACGTACAAACCTTTAATACATAGCAACATCACAAAACACAAAAACGTACTAACCTTTAATACATAGCAACATCACAAAACACAAAAACGTACTAACCTTTGATACATGGAAACATCACAAAACACAGACGTACAAACCTTTGATACATGGAAACATCACAAAACACAAAAACGTACAAACCTTTGATACATGGAAACATCACAAAACACAAAGACGTACAAACCTTAAATACGTAGCAACATCACAAAACACAAAAACGTACAAACCTTTGATACATGGCAACATCACAAAACACACAGACGTACAAACCTTTGATACATGGAAACATCACAAAACACCAGCACATCGATGTAATACGTCTGGGACGTCTGGCGTTTAACCCTCTGAAGGTCAGAGCTCTGACTTAACCCATTCTTTCTGGACTCCATCACCGCCGACTCTGTTTACAGACAGAAGACAGAAACATTGCAGTTTTTATTTATAGATGTCATCGGGAATTTCCGATTAATACAACTGATGTCAACGGAACTTTACGATTAATACAACTAATGTGTGTAACACATACTTAGCCCAAAGACAGTATTGTCCAATGGCGCTATACTTGAGTCAAGGACGATAACTTCTACTCTCCCCTCTTGTAATGAATTACTAAACTAAGGGCAGAAACCCACAGCGGTATTACTAAACTACTATTTAAGATTCAGATTGAACGCAATGCAAACTGTTATTTAAAAAGTTTAACCACGAATAGTGTTCGTGGCATTAACTGCAATATTAAATGAAACAATTTACCCAGGCGAGCTGCCGTGTCCTCTGCCCTGTGCTCGTCTACAACCTCCATGCGGTAGTACTGGGTCACGTGGGTGAACCGGGGTAAAGATGGCTTCAACAAGGCGGAATGATGGGAAATTTGGTATTTCATCCCGTCACGGAAAACAGAACCCTCCTGGAAATACAATTAGAAACTTCAAAACTATACAATATTTAATTATTTGCATCATATATATATATATATATATATATATATATATATATATATATATATATATATATATATATATATATATATATATATATATATATATATATATATATATATATATATATATAGGGCTATTCTTAATAAGATTTTCAGAACTTACCAATACGAAGATAGGTTTTGTGGCATCATACTGTAAGCATTTGACCATGAATGCTGCCCCTTCATGGTAATTGTGATACCCCTGAGCACTAACATACTGCAATATGGAAGGGAGTGAAATTTAATAAATGTCTTGAGGTTTGTTTTTTGTTGTGTTGTTGTTTTGGTTTTTCATGTTTATGAGACATCTTTTTTTCACATAACAATTACCTATTGCGTAATTAAACTGGCAGAGTCTAATAAAATAAGTGTTATCAGTTTTCGTACTTCTGATTGGTCAAGGTCGACAGTTTCCAAGTACACGCCTCGTTCTGAATCCTGGTGAAGAATGTGAATTTGCCCAGGCGACCTCGGGACCTCGTTATGAAACAGGGTCAGGCTCCAGGTCTGTTTGCTGGTCGGGTCATCGACCTGGACTTGCAGAGAATGGGGGTACCGGCAGCTGCCATCGTCATTAACGTCTGCTGAAGGTAAGGTTACCTCAACTACATCACCTGGGTAAGCTATTTTTAGAATAAACAAAATCAAAATCTCGTGACGATGTTTATTTTCAGCATAGTTGTAGTAAAAGAAAGGAATATGGTAAACATGCGGATATCGCTATATACAGGGGCGTAGCGAGGGGGGTGCGGGGGGTGCGGACCGCACCGGGTGACACCATTTAGGGGGGTGACACCAAGGCAAAAAATAGCAAAATATATAGAGAAAAACTTGAGGGGGGGTGCAAATCGAAAGTTTGAGGGGGGGGTGCAAATCGAAAACTTGAAAGTTTGTCCCCGGGAAGGGTCGCAACGCCTCTGGGGGGGGTGACACCATTAAGTGCCGCACCGGGTGACACCCGACCTCGCTACGCCACTGGCTATATACAACGTGAAAGTTAAATGTGTTGGAATATTTCCCTGTGTACTCTCTGCGCTAAATTGAAACAATTCCACTGTGACTGTGTTTTCTTTAGAGTTTAGAGTATAGACAAACGACAAATGTTTTTAAAGAATAAAAACTAGGTTTTCCTTTTTTAAATAAAACATTATAACATTATGCATTCAGTTTTTAAAAATGGCCTAAAAATGTGATAAAATTCTAAATCTGTTTTCCGCCGAAAACTATTGCGATAAGTGAACAACCACTTTTAGCCAAGTGATTTTATCACTACTTTAATCTGTATCACACGGCCATATTAGTCTGTCTTAACCCCCCCCCCCCACCCCCCACCCCACCCTTCCTTCCCCCATACACACACACACACACATATATAGATTATAGATCTATATAAATTATAAATTAACTTTTGCAGAATCCATATCATAAAAGGGACATTTAACAAAGTGAAAAATTCAACACACGTTAAAGCAGTGCCTTGATTTAGTTTTTTTTTTATTCCACATTCGAAGTCAAATTTTTGAAAAAGTAAAAACATTACACAGCACGCTTAAACATATTATAAACAGTGGCGTAGCGAGGTCGGGTGTCACCCGGTGCGGCACTTAATGGTGTCACCCCCCAGAAGCGTAGCGACCCTTCCCGGGGACAAACTTTCAAATTTTCGATTTGCACCCCACCCCCTCAAACTTTCGATTTGCACCGCCCCCCCCCCCTCAAATTTTTCTCTATATATTTTGCTATTTTTTGCCTTGGTGTCACCCCCCCCCCCCTAAATGGTGCCACCCGGTGCAGTCCGCACCCCCCCCCCCCTCGCTACGCCTCTGATTATAAATAAATTAGTTCTTTTGTATTTTGTTCACATTTTTAAAGACAAAACTTCTGTCTGTTGCAATAAAAAAAGGTGATTTCAGCCCAATCACAATGGCAGTTAAACCCAGACAGCGCTTTATACAGTGTTTCTTCCAGACTTTTTTCTCCGGGGGTGCACTTGAAATCTTCGGGGGGCGGTAAACTTTCTTCGGGGGGGGGGGGGCGGACACTGTTAAAAGTATATATTTTCTATATAAATTATATAATTTTCATTTCGTTCGGGGGGGGGGCGGTAAAAAAATTTCGGGGTGGGGGCTTCGCCCCCCCCCCCCCCCCAAGAGATGCCTGGAAGAAACTCTGGCTTTATACAAATGTAAATACACAAGTTTAGGGCATAAACATCCGGGTCACTATAAAACTAGCTCCAAGTAGATCCGGGCACAAATCCACGTTTAATAAACTGTAAACATCACGTGGTTTGAAGTAACTCAGTAACATGCGCAGTCATTACGCCTTGCAAGTTAGACGGCTGTGTGAAGTAAAATCTCCTGGACTTTAATTAATCGCTAATTTCCCAAATAAAGTCTTTACAATGTTGGTAAATAAGAGCCTCGAACTTCCTCCCCACCGCCAATCTACGATAATTAGCCACTATATTGTGCTTTGAAACGCTAATCTGATTAGAAACGACATTTGGAGAGTGTTTAACTAGAAGAGTGTGGTGTATAATTACAATTGTGTTTTAAATATATAAGTCTCCGATAGTGTAGCTAGAAATGTGTACTGTAAAACTAGAAATATGTCTCCGATTGTGTCGCTAGAAATGTGTACTGAATAACTAGAAATATGTCTCCGATTGTGTCGCTAGAAATGTGTACTGAATAACTAGAAATATGTCTCCGATTGTGTAGCTAGTAAAGTGCACTTTATAACAAGAAATGTCTCAGAGAGTATTAATAGATCTTCGTTGGAGCGTTGAAATAACACACCATGATTGTTATTGCTTACCTCGTCACAAATTTCCTACTACCCACCTGTATCATTGTCTGTGTCGTCTCCCTCCCACCTATATCATGTTCTGTGTCTCCCACCCACCTGTATCATGTTCTGAGACGTCTCTCACCCACGCATATCTTATTCCCAGTCGTCTCCCACCCACCTATATCGTATACAGGTTCGTACTTTTATAAAGTGGGGAACCTGTACCTCAAAGCTCAATGACAAGAGTTGTAAACAAACAACCATTTTCAAGGTGACCTCGGTACCTAACCTTAATCTACTTCCGTATCTTCGCGCATAGGTTGTTTTTTGTTTGTTTTTTTTCAATTTCCTCGTATTTATTTATTTTTTTGAGATTTTATGGCCAATACTTAGCCCACTCAAATCTGTTATGCTAGCCAAATAGTGGGTACCTTTCCCTGCCCCCTCCATTAACAAATTAATACCTTTGTAATTAGAATAAAATGAACGTTCGTACTTATTAATAACAAATTGACTGTGCTGTTATAAAACCGCAATAAACTTAAACAATTTCTGTGTATATAAACTGCCAACACAAAATAAACTTTAGTATTTATCAGCATAGGCTGACATCACAAAATGAACATTCGGGGAGACAACTCCATCTACCCTGTCTCATGAATAAAATGCTATCATACAGCACTAGCCTGTCTCACACATAACCAATATAAACCTGTCAATGTATAAGGCAAACCGGCCAATTAGCTTGCGCCATTTTATGAGACAGTTACTCCTGATTTAGTGGCATACATCAGCATTATTTACAACCTTAAGAGAGTGAGTTCGAATCCGGGTTCAATTCAGTAGAACGTCCCTGAGTCCACACAGCTCTGATGGGTACCTAACTCACGTTATGGAAAATAAAGACAGCTGGGCATAGTGCTGACAACACGATCCCATAATATGCTGAGGTCACAGAAACAAGTAAACTCTATTTGCCCCGTGGACCGTCAGGTTCGAAAAGGGAACTTTACTTCTACTTTTTACTTAATTCATCGAGTTACTAATTCATTATCCCAGTACAGATAAATCATATCACGAGTCGAACAAGGATTAAAGCTCTTCCGTGTTAACATGTATTGTATAATTTGTGTACCGGATTTTGTTATCTGTGAAGTTTGGTGTGATTGATAGGTTGACTTGGATTGGTCCAGAGGCGTAGTAAAGGGAGGGCTGGTGGGGGAAGAAGAACATTTCATTCTGAGCTGCATTACTTGATTAAACACAGTCAAAGTTAAGAAATAAATCACACTGCTACTTGTCTTTATGGACTTATTTGACTATTTTCTACACCAGTTGTGTGACTCCAAAATAAATACACCTAAGGGAGACAAAAACGTCAAGACCTTTCCTAATTTGGGGGAGGGGGGGGGGGGCTTTTTCACCAACGAGAATAACTCTATAAAAATGAGCAGGGTCGCAAAATTGATAGTTTGCCCCGGGCACTGAAATGGGTCGCTACGGCCCTGGTTCAGTGTTTCTTCCAGTCTTTTTTCTCAGGGGGGAGGGGGCACTTGAAATTATTTTTTGTGGGGGGGGGGGGGGAGACGTTTTTTGGGGGATGCCTGGAAGAAACTCTGTCCTCAATAGGTCGTTTATATTTGTAATGCTGTTGTAAAGAAAGGAGGATGTTCACGCGTGTATTTCTTATCGGATTATTTATCAATTCATTGGGTCGGGTGTTACCCATGCGGTCCGCACCCCCCTACACACACACGCCCGCATTATGACGTTACTGATGTCACGCATTTTTTCGCCAAATCGTGTGTCCTGCCCCCTTCTCGTATGTCACAGATGAGGTCACATACTTTGGTACAACACTCGATGTTGTCACACAGTGTGACATTTTCCACGACCCCACCAGTCGGCTACAACATTTGATTGTGACACGAATTGTCACATTTTGCCAGATCCCAAATACCTTCATCCCATATCCCTAAACTGAGCCACTCAATTCCAATACAGTGCTAGACTCCACCCTTTTCTCACTAAGTGTAAAATAAAGTCCGGTAACTTGGTCATTTTTACCATTTTTAACTGTACCTACAACGGGAATTTTAAAAATCGATTATAAATTGTACGAAATCATATATGAACGGCCCCTTTGATATAGCGATTATTGCTTTCTTTATAAATTAAATACGTCGAATTCATACTCAAAGGAAAATATAAAAAGTGACTCGGGTATTTAATAGTACAAACCGAACACGTGTAGAGTTGCATCCCTTACTAAAAGAATACCCCACGGTGCGCCGTCATTCAACAGCGGGTATAATAGAACTATAGAACCACAAGGTTTTGGGTAAACAGTGACTGGCGACACCCCGCTGCTTGAGTCAACATGTCCATCAAAGGCGCCCTCTGTAGGCGGACAATATAAATTTCACATAGGCTACCAGGAAGTGGAGTCCGTTTATAAAATAAATGAGGAGTTCGGGTTATAAAGGATGGTGTACGAGTGTTTGTGTTTAATAAATAGTGATTGTAAAGAGGAGTCTTCACAATAATTTGTCCTTTTTTAATAGTGTCGTTCACCCCAACCGACTTTGCTTATCCACAGATTTTACATAATGAACTTTAAGTTCTTTCTTACCTCTAAAAGTCTAAACCTAACTATAACCCTTCGTTTTAGCCCTAAGGTTAAAGCAGAATAATATCATTATATGCGTAAGCCGTAGTTTAAATCTAAACATAGATTTAGTTGTTAGAGTAATGTCTTTGGTAATTTAGACCAAAGTATAACATATCGTGACCACGTCTTGCTGATAATAGTAAATATATATATATATAT